AGTTGGCCTCTGGAATTACAATACAACAGGAGTGAGACACATTGAAACTTTTGGGACTTTACTTCTCTGCACTACTGTTATTTCCTGTAAGAACACCTTGGCTTTATCTAGTTACTAGGCCCGTTGTGGGAAGAAGTACAACGAGCTCTAGAAGGAAGCTCCAGGTGAGTGTCCCGGCTGTGGCTGGTGGGGCAGCAGAGGGAAGGGGAAAATAGAGGGAGGCAAGCCATGTTTATTTCCTTCTGCTTAGCTATAAGGAAGGGCTGCCCCAAGTCATTTTGCTGCCCCAAGTGGGTAGTATGGGAGGACAGCCTCATGGTAACAGGTATGGTTCCCTCCACCCCTGACTTCTGTTGATTTGGGGTTATGGAGTGGCAGCTAAGGTAGAAAAGCGCCTCCTCCTATGCCATATCTTCTGGGTTGCAAGGGTCTGGAATGCAGTTCCATAGCCAGTTACAGGGTTGCCAACTCTGGGTTGGGAAATACCTGTAGATTTGAGGGGTTGAGCCTGGGGAGGGCAGAGTTTGGGGTGCGGAGGGACCTCAGCAGGGTATAATGCCATAGAGTCCATTGCTCAAAGCAGCCCTTTTCTCCAGAACTGATCTTGGAGATCTCCAGGTGCTGCCTGGAGGCTGGCAATACTAAGGGGAGGGCCAGACCTGTAGATTTGAGTGGTAGAGCCTGGGGAGGGCAGGGTTTGGGGCGCGGAGGGACTTCAGCAGGGTATAATGGCATACAGTCCACTGCCCAAAGCAGCCATTGTAATAGCTGGGAAATTTTCTGTAGGGGAAATGATGTGCTGTGGCTGGGGAACACGGTTATATCTGGGAGATCTCCAGGCCCCACAGGGTGATTGGCAACTCCAGTGACCATTTAAGGGAAAATTGGGATATGTATTTTACCTCAGGACACATTCAATGACTCCCAACAGCAACCACAAACTGTTTAGAATGTTAGAGGCCGCATATGCAAATGACCCCTGTGTTCCGACTGGTTATTGGAGGGAGAGGAACAGCAAACTGTTCAGAATATTGGAGGCGAGACTCAGGCAATGCAGCCAGTGGATAGGGACAGCTTCTGAGTGACAGATCAGGGAGCCAACTGATTTGGGAGCGTGTGGAATGTTTACGAGAGTCCATGACCCAAACAGAATTATTATATAGAGAGATATGGTTATTGTGTTAGTGAACTTGGCAAAGTTTGGAAGGCAGTCAGTTTCTTCCTAAATACCCGTTCCACCACCGTTTCCTCTGCCAGTTCACTGACTTTCTGCCCTCAATCTCCCTGCCTTTGCCTCCGCCAGGGGCCAAAATTGTTAATCTGCCTCCCCCTCCCTTGCTCTTTGGGCCTGTAGAGCTGCCTGCAGTGATGGTGGAAAGTGCAACCGAGTCACAGCCGACTTATGGCGATCACATAGGGTTCTCAAGACAAGAGACAAGTAGAGGTGATTTGCCATTGCCTGCCTCTCCATAGCGACCCTGGACTTCCTTGGTGGTCTCCCATCCAACTACTAACCAGGACTGACCCTGCTTAGCTTCCGAGATCTGATGAGATCAGGCTAGCCCAAGCCATCCAGGTCTAGGCAAGAGACAAACAGAGATAGTTTGCCCTTGTCTGCCTCTGCGTGGCAACCATGGACTTCCTTGGTGGTCTCCCATCCAAGTGCTAACCAGGGACGACCCTGCTTAGCTTCCGAGATCTGAAGAGATCAGGTTAGACTGAGCTATCCAGGTCAAGGCAAGAGTCAACCAGAGACTGGTTGCACTGAAGTGGGTTGCAGTTCCCAGAGGAGACCAATAAATCCAGGATGCAGGGGGAAGAGGAACCATATCAGCTAAGAAGAGAGCTTTTTTTCCTGAGACCTGGGGGGGTGATGACGGAAAATGGTGGCAGAAACTGTCGCCAGGTCACAGCTAACTTATGGAGATCCCTCGTGGGTTTTTCAAGGCAGGAGGGAAATAGAGGTGCTTTGCTGTTGCCTGCCTCTGCGTGTCAACCCTTGGTGGTCTCCCATCCATGTACTAACCAGGACCGACCCTGCTTAGCTTCTGAGAGCGGATGAGGCTGGGCTAGCCTGGGCCGTCCAGGTCAAGACAGCAGATGAATGGTGGTCCTCTGCATAGCAACCCTGGACTTCCTTGGTGGTCTCCCATCCAAGTACTAACCAGGACCGACCCCGCTTAGCTTCTGAGAGCTGATGAGCTCAAGCTAGTTTGCGCCATCCAGGCCAGGGCAAGAGACGGCAGAGGTTTCACAAATGCCTGCCTCTGCACAGCAACCCTGGACTTCCTTGGTGGTCTCCCATCCAAGTGCTAAGCAGGGACGACCCTGCTTAGCTTCCGAGATCTGAAGAGATCAGGTTAGACTGAGCTATTCAGGTCAAGGCAAGAGTCAACCAGAGATGGTTTGCCATGGCCTGCGTCTGCATAGCAACCTGGACTTCCTTGGTGGTCTCCCATCCAAGTACTAACCAGCGCCCACCCTGCTTAGCTTCAGAGATGATGAGACTGGGCTATCCTGATCAAGGCAAGAGATGCTCAGAGGTGGTTTGCCATTGCCTGCCTCTGCGTGGCAACCCTGGACTCCCTTGGCAGTCTCCCAAGCGCTAACCAAGGCTGACCCTGCTTAGCTTCTGAGATCTGACAAGATCAGGCCAGCCTGGGCCATCCAGGTCAGAGCAGGCTTTCCTGTTGTCATGATCTGGGCTGTGCCACCAGAGGCCTACTAGGCCCAGGCTAGCAGTAGGAAAGGCTGGGCCTACAACTCCCAGAAGCCCCTGAGAGGTTTTGGAGCCAAAATTGACCAATAGGAAAAGAGGAGGGCTTGGAATAAAAGATCTGGAGCAGCAGGAAAAGCTGTTCTTTCTTCCAGAGGGCAGAGCGAGAAGGAAGGCAGCTGCAGGAAGAAACCCTCATCCTGAGGGAAGAGTGAGTAGTCTAGTGTCACTTGGGATAGTGAGCTAGAGACAGTATATAGTTAGACGCGTTAGGGCATTTGATATCTTTTTTCACCCACTTACTGTTATTATTCTGCACCTTGTTGTTTGACCTCTTATAAAATAAACTATTTTCATTGTTCTCTCTGCCTGGTCCTCACGCCTGTTATTCAGCCAAAAGGGAGGTCTGAAGGTCTTGGGAGGGTGCTCTGGGCCTTCTCAAGGGATCCTAAATCCAAAGTGGTGGCAGCGTCAGGTGACACCCCCACCTGAGCCGTGACACAAAATCCCTTCCTCTGGTGAGACTTTGACCACCACTCTGGTGGCCTGCCCAGAGAAGTAAAGGAGGGAAGGGAGATTAGCTGAGCACAGCAAAGGCAGTAGACTGAGTTGGAGGTCGCCGGGAAAGGTTCGCCTTTGGAAGCGTTATTTGTTGAGCGACAGCTGCCTGTTTCTCAGCTTGCGAGCGGTTCTCAGTTATGCGCCGTGTGGCCGTCCCCTGCACAGCTGCCCGAGGATGTGGCTTCGTCGATTTCCCTTTCTCAGGCTCAGGTGTCTAAAACTACATGCCTTGTATTTATGTTTGGCTTTCTCACATTTCAACCGTCTAACAGTCGCATTTACAAAAGCACAACGCCGAAGGGGAGTTCACATCCTGAATATTATCCTCTTTGGCTAGCCAGGTGATGCACACAGATTGTTTTCTGCTTTCAGACCCTACAAGTGGTTGCAGAGTGTTCCCTCTAAGCTGAGTTAGTGTGAGCTAGCTCACAGTTTTCTAGCCTCCTGGGACCTGATCTCTGCAGTTTGGAGACGAGCGATAATTCCAGGAGATCCCCAGGTCCCACCTGGAGGTTGGCATTCCGAGTTGGAGGTGCAACAGTTCATCTAGTAATTCAGATTATTACACAATCATATATATGTAAGAATGATGACAAGGTCGCTAAGGCGCTATGACCTTATATTCCTGAAAAGACGACTCATCCAATAGATTGCTAACATTTTGCAATACTTCCTAGTACCAGTCAGAAACAGTTGAGTACAGGAGACACGATTCATTTTAGAAAGTTCCATAAAATTTATTTCCATTTTTTAACAATAACCCCCTGTACTTAACCAGTGATAACAAAAAGCAGATGGTACAACAACAACAAAAAAAGAATGAAGGCATCGGTTTCATTACTTTGTGTGTCTGCAATAAAAACAAACAAACAAATGTAACGTACAAAATCGTAATGTGATTAATTGCTGAATCTTGGAAACAAATTCCATCACATCCGGGGAGATTTTTTTAAAAAAACAATCATACTTCAGTTATTCTAAGTTTGTCAGTTGTTATTCGGATTGTCGTCAACCCAAATATGCCTTCGACGATTTTAAAATTATGTGAAGACACTCTCTTTTTCAGTTATCATAACATTCACGGCTGGACAGAAAGCCCTTCAATAATCCCAGTGCTTCCATGAGAACATTCAAGGAAACTGCAAGAGAGCTTTCGCTCTGTTTTAACATCCCAGGAACGTTTCACACATTACAAAGCAGCAAACCTGGGTTTACAGGAACTCAGTGCTGGGCCAATCCTAACTCTGTAACATCTATATACCGGCATAACACACATACATACAAACATGAATTTGCTGCATTTCCACTTTAGATGCACACGTGAAATACCTTTGTACAAAGCAGCCCTGAGGGGCGATCTCCCATCTTAATGTGATTTTGGTTCTTTTTTGCACGTATCAGAGCTGACACACTGTAAACATGGCATTTCACCTGTACGAGCAGAGGAGAAAACTGAACGTATGCACTGAAGTGGGTTGCAGTTCCCAGAGGAGACCAATAAATCCAGGATGCAGGGGGAACAGGAACCATATCATTTTCCTAAGAGCTGAAGGGGGGTGATGACGGAAAATGGTGGCAGAAACTGTCGCCAGGTCACAGCTAACTTATGGAGATCCCTCGTGGGTTTTTCAAGGCAGGAGGGAAATAGAGGTGCTTTGCCATTGCCTGCCTCTGCGTGGCAACCCTTGGTGGTCTCCCATCCATGTACTAACCAGGACCGAACCTGCTTAGCTTCTGAGAGCGGATGAGGCTGGGCTAGCCTGGGCCAGCCTGGGCCATTTAGGTCAAGACAGCAGATGAACGGTTGTCCTCTGCATAGCAACCCTGGACTTCCTTGGTGGTCTCCCTTCCAAATATTAACCAGGGCCAACCCTGCTTAGTTTCCAAGAGAGAAGGGTAGGATCGGGGTCTCGGGGGCAAATTCGGGGTCACCCCGCATAATGTGTGAAATCCAGCTGATGGCTCAGTTGTGCGATTTATTTATAAAAATACAGTTTTTAAAATAATAAAGTAAGCTTCCTCAGTGTTAACAGATGGGAGAGTCTTACGTTTTATATAGGGAAAGGGGGCATAGAGTTACATTGCAAAGGAGTCCAAAAAAGTAGCCAGCGGAGAAGAAGTTGATCTGGCTTTTAAAAGGTGCCAACCGTGCCTCAAAACCGTGTGGTGCCGTCAACCGCAGCGCGTGACGGCGCCTCTTCCGTTCCTTCCCTCCCCAATCGGTCTCAGCGTCCAGACGTCCGTCTGCTTCGAAACAGTTTCCGGATATGCAGATTGAAGTCCATAAATACAGCACATAGCATGATTTTTTAAAGCGAGACAACCCTGAGCTCGTCTACGAGGAAATGTCAAGGCATTCTGCCTTCTCGGCCCCATTACACGGATCCGCCCCCTGCAGCAGCGGGAAGAGCCCGGACGTTACTTTAGATGCCGGCCGGTGGCCGACAGCCACGTGAAACATGAGCAGGTCCGGAAACAGAAATCACTTCCAGGGTGAAGGCTGCGACCGTATTGTTGCCCTCACATAAACCCCACAAGTCTAGTAGTAGTGAAGGGATCTAAGGGGGCACGTCACGCTGCAAAGGCCGAGAGCTCTGGCCCGGTTCCTCTGGTGCTCAGCGAAGAGCTCCCTGATAACCGCCGCTCTGCCATCCTTCTCCTCATTCAAAGGCAGCCTCCTGCTGACGTTTCCCCCGTCGAACAGCTGCACGCGGCCAGGTCTCTTTTAGGACATTGGCTCTGGGCCGTTCGGTGCGCAGAGAACTCAGCCTTTTGACTCCCAGGAGACTTAGGAGGAGCTCTCCCGATGGGAAGAGTAAGTCCTTAAGAAAAAGAGGCCCGGCCCAAAGACCCTTCGGCCTCCGCCTCTCGTAGTGAACGCTTGTGTTTCCCCGTCTCAAAAGTGCAAGATCTGTCACTCTCCATCCAGTGACTGTGTCACTGCCCGGTGTGGGGAGAAGTTTTTTCCCGTTTTCTCCCTGCAACAAGGTGGGGTGACGGACCCCGACGGCAGCTTTAACCTCACTGCCCCGGGGCCGGGGTTCTCTCCAGTTCCCAGAAATGCTCCGTCCGCTTAGACACTACTGTCAGTCTGTACTTTGCCGTTCAGGCACTGTTTCTCCGAGGGATTCCCTTGCGCTTTCCTCTGTGCCACTTGGTACTCCTTCGTCTTGTAGGCTTTGTGGTACATATAATAGCCCACGCCGGCTATAGAAGCAAGAACTAACGCGGCCAGAATCCCCAAGCTGATTGGAAGGGCCGGGACCTCGTAAACTAAAAAAACAGACCAAAAAAAATGCACATATTAGAATTTGACACCGATGGATAGACTTTCCTTTATATACAACTAGAAATAATGCCCGTTGCGGAAATAAATACAACGGGATCTAGAAAGAGGCTCTGGGAGAGTGCTCTGGCTCTGGGCATACAGTGTCAGTTTCCTGTGGCGACCTCAGCAGGGTTTAATGACAGAGTCCACTGTTTTCTCCAGAGGGACTGATCTCTGCTACCTGAAGAGCATTTGTATGTGTGAGTTATCTGTAGCCCTCACCTGGAGAGTGGTAACCATTGTTACCCATTCTCCTCTCCCCTATGAGGTATGTTATGCAACTGAAAATCCCAACTGCCTTGCGGGGGGGGGAGTTTGAGGTGTGGAATGGACTGAAGTCCAATCAGCTTCCATATGCAAAAGACCAGGTTGTTGCAGCAGTTGTGGTGTGGGCGGGACTCGGGCTTTGCCTTCTGATTGGTGGCGATATATGCTGAGGAGCAGTGCCATCAGCCATACACTAAGGGAGTGCATTTTAGAATTAGAACTTTGGCACCCACTATTCAATTATATATAAGGAGAGACAGACTTTCCTTTAAGCTTTGGTATATGAAAAGTTATAGCTAGTATGCAGAAATGATGAAATACACGATATAGAATATGCAATAACAATAAAATTAATAATAGCATTGCAAAATAGAACAGTTATGAAATTTGAAACTCAACATGTTTGAAGTAAGGACCATTGTATCCTGTCGAAAATGTCTTAAACACTATAATGAAGGGAATGTTGGGGAGAAATAGTTATTTTTTCTGTTTTACATACCCTGGAATCAGTGTTCCCTCTAAGCTGAGTGAGTGTGAGCTAGCTCACAGTTTTTTAGCCTCCAGCTCACCCATTTTTGCCTTAGCTCAGGAAGGAGGGCTCCAGAGCAAACTAATTTGTGCAGGAGCCAAATCGCTCGCTTAATGACTTTAATGCTAGTAGCTGACAAAGTAGTATTTTCACTCACAAGACTCCACAGCTTAGAGGGAGCATTGCCTGGAATGTATAATAACCTTGATATCTCAATAAAATAAATCTCAATAAAATAAAATTTAAAAATCTCAATAAAATAAAATTTGAAAATCTCAATAAAATAAATATCTAATCAGCTATATAAGCCCTCTTTTCCTTTTGTATCCCCTTTATATTATATCTTCCTTTCTAAAATAAAAAATACATTACAAAAAAAAACAAACCCAAATCCCCCACAAGTTTGCAATTACGCACTCTATTGAACCTCCACTTCGGTTTGCGGCAGGGCAAAACGGATTTATTTAAAACCCTTTTTATGCCCCCTTTCCGCCTAATCAGGGTCCCACCAGGCGGCAAGTGTAAAAAGCGTTAATACATGTGAGCAATTAAAAACATCCTAAATTCCAAAATAATTCACTAAAACCACATAAACGCCAGAACCAGGAAGGAGGGCCAGGAACTGTTACTGGGGGCATACCAAATGAAACAGAAGAGTCTTCACTTTTATAATAATCAGCCAATATCACCATGCCCCTGTATAAATCGATGGTGCGACCTCATTTGGAGTACTGTGTGCAGTTCTGGTCACCACACCTCAAAAAGGATATTGTAGCATTGGGAAAAGTGCAGAAAAGGGCGACTAGAATGATAAAAGGGTTGGAACACTTTCCCTATGAAGAAGGGTTCAAGCACTAGATGGGCCATTGGTCTGATCTAACACTGGCTTCTCTTATGTTCTTATGAGGATGATGAGGAGGAGAAGATTGGATTTATCCCCCGCCCTTCGCTACCCAAAGGAGTCTCAGAGGGGCTGACAAACTCCTTTCCCTTCCCCTCCCCACAACAGACACCCTGTGAGGTTGGTGGGGCTGAGAGAGCTCTGACAGAAACGGCTCTTTTTTTCAAGGACAGCTCTTGTCAGAACTACGGCCTGCCCAAGGTCATCCAGCAGCTGCGAGTGGAGGAGTGGGGACTCAAACCCGGTTCTCCCAGATTAGAGTCTGCACCAATGTTCCCTCTAACTTGTGGAGTCTTGTGAGCAAAAATTCTACTTTGTGAGCTGCTGGCATTAAAGTTGTGAGCGAGCAATTTGGCTACTGCATATATTATGGTAGTTTGCTGTGAAGCCCTCTTTCCTGAACTAAGACAAAACTCTATGAGCTGGAGGCTAAAAAACTGTGAGCTAGCTCACACTCACTCAGCTTAGAGGGAACACCGGTCTGCACACTTAACCGCTACACCAAACTGGCTCTCACACCAGAGAAAATAAACCAGGAAGATGTTTCCTCTGTGTGTGTGTGGGGGGGTGTCATGCAAAGATGTAATCACATGCCAAGTGGTGCCAAGTGATTTTTTCCTGTATTTTATAGCTCTTCCTATGTTGTACCGTATTTGTAACGGCCCTTGGCCATATGCAGTAAATTGGAATCGACTTGTTTTGAAGGCAAGAGACGTTTCAGAGGCGGTTCGCCCTTGCCTGCCTCGGCGTCACGACCCTGGTATTCCTTGGAGGTCGCCCTTCCAAATACTAGCCAGGGCCGACCCTGCTTAGCTTCTGAGATCTGATGAGACTGGGTTTGCCTGGACTATCCAGGTCAAGGCAAGAGACGTTTCAGAGGTGGTTCGCCTTTGCCTGCCTCGGCGTCACGACCCTGGTATTCCTTGGAGGTCGCCCATCCAAATACAAGCCAGGGCCGACCCTGCTTAGCTTCCGAGACCCGACAGCTCCGGGCTCCCCTGGGCTACCTACCAAGCAAGTCAAAAGATTTGTTCCTTAGGGCAAAGAGACCGGCTTACCTTCGACGCCGACAGTCACAACGGCAGCGACAGAACCGTATTCATTGGACGCGCTGCAGTTATAGCTGCCTCGGTGGTTCGCAGTGATGAGCTGCGGTACCCCGAGAGGGTAATGCACCCCGTCTTTGCGGCACGTGACATTTGGGGACGGGTTTCCCCAGGCTGAGCAGGTGAACGTTTCCTCACTGCCGGCCTTCCAGGTCACGGTGCCGGGGCAGCTGGATTCATTCATCTGGGGCCCATCTGGAACAGAGAAGGTAATGTGGTTAGTTTCTTTAGCGATGCAGCGATGGTGGCGGCGGCGGTGAAGCATAAATCCAGGAGCCAGTTTGGCTCTTGCTGAAATGAGAGTTTTCCCCTCAAATGGCTGTGGCCCTCCACATGCAGCTGCTGGGGTGACCTTGGGTCTGTCGCAAGTTCTCTCAGAGCAGCTCTCTCAAGAGCAGTCCTCCGGAGAGCTCTCTCAGCCCCGCCTCCCTCACAGGGTGTCTGTTGTGGGGAGGGGAAGGGAAAGGAGACTGGAAGCCGCTCTGAGACTCTAAGTGAAGGGCTGGGTATAAATCCAATCTCTTTTTTCCGGTGCTCAGGGTGCAACATGGATCCTGAGACTGGCATGGACGTTATCCTGAAACGGCTTCCGGGGTATAACCCGGAACAGGGGTCCCCAAACTTTCCGAGCCTGTAGGCCCCTCTGGAATTCTGACAAAGGGCAGTGGTGGGCGAAATCACAAAATGGCTGCCACAAGAAGCAGGGCCAAGCACAAAAGGGCCGCTGCAGGAGGACCACAGAACGTCAGGGGGGTGAGGTTATATATAACCGTGACAGTAACAATTCCACACTCCAGGCAGAAACTTGGTTTAACAGGATGCCTTTTAATCTGCACAGCCAGTCGGAAGCCCCGCTGAGCGAACACCCCACTTAGCCTCCTCCCACTATCTAAAACCACTTGGCGTGGGCCAGGAAAGGTATCAGCAGGGCCATGGCGCCCACAAGCACCACGTTGGGGACCCCTGACCTAGAAGCTTGTGTACAGTCCCATGAACCCTGGCTAGTTCACATGTGCATAACTTGATGACCCTAGCCCTTTTCAGAGGTCAAGCCCACACCAGAGCCAGTTTGGTACAGTGGTTGAGTGCGCGTTATACCCCGCCCTACCCCGGAGGCTCAGGGCGGCTAACAACATATAATTAATAACCCAATAAGACAGTAAGACAATACAAAATACAATACAAAATATTAAAATTACATCATAACATATGCAGCTGCTGGTGTGACCTTGGGTCAGTCACAAGCAGTGTTCCCTCTAAGCTGCGTTAGTGTGAGCTAGCTCACCATTTTTTAGCCTCCGTCTCGTACATTTTTGTCCTAGCTCAGGAAGGAGGGCTCTAGAGCAAACTGATTTATGCAGTAGCCAAATGGCTCGCTCACAACTTTAATGCCAGTCGCTCACAAAGTAGAATTTTTGCTCACAAGACTCCACAGCTTAGAGGGAGCATTGCTTGTGACCAGTGTTCCCTCTAAGCTGAGTTAGTGGGAGCTAGCTCACAGTTTTTTTAGCCTCTGGCTCACACATTTTTGTCTTAGCTCCGGAAGGAGGGCTCCAGAGGAAACTAATTTATGCAGTAGCCAAATTGCTCGCTCACAACTTTAATGCCAGTAGCTCACAAAGTAGGATTTTTGCTCACAAGACTCCACAGGTTAGAGGGAGCATTGATCACAAGTTCTCTCAGAGCTGTTCTCTCAGGAGCAGTCCTCAGAAGAGCTCTCTCAGCCCCACCTACCTCACACAGGGTGTCTGTTGTGGGGAGGGGAAGGGAAAGGAGATTGTAAACCCCGCTGAGACTCCTTCGGGTAGTGAAGGGCGGGGTATAAATCCAATCTCTTCTTCTGTTCTCACACCCCGGGGAGCCTGGAAACCAGGCGAATGGGGAGCACGATGCTTTCGAGCAAAATACACGTAGAGAACACAATGGCTAGGAATACTGGCAGCACCATGCACCCGAAACACATGGCTGCTGGCCTTCCAGTCCATACAGACAACTATGGGCACTTTCATGCACACTAAATAACAATCTTCCAAATCCACTTTCAGCACACTTTGCAACTGGATTTTACTGTGTGAAATGGCAAAATCCACTTGCAGAGGGTGGCTGAAGTCTTTATTCAGCACGTGTGAAAGCACCCAAAAATCATGTCTGAAACAGGCTATTGTGTGCAATATTATCGCAAGCAGCGGAGCTTTCATTGATTCATCTCTTTGCTTCTTGAGACCTTGCCTCCCTCCCCAGTGGGCTTACGTTCTCCTCCTCTCCTCACAACAACCCTGCGAGGTAGGTTAGGCCGAGAGGTTGTGACTGGCCCCAGGTTGCCCAGCAAGCTTCCGTGGAGAGGTGGGGGGATTCGAACGTGGGCCTCCCAGGCAATGCTCTCTCTAAGCCTCGTGAGCAAATATTCTCTACCTTGTGAGCTCCTGGCATTCAAGTCGTGAGCGAGTGATTTGGCTATGGCACAAATTAAGTTTGCTCCTCTGGAGCCTTCCTTCCTGAGCGGAGACAAAAACGGGTGAGCCGGAGGCTAAAAAACGGTGAGCCGGCTCACACTGACTCAGCTTGGCGGGAACGCTGCTCCCAGGTAATAATCTCTCTCTCCACACAGGCTCTTTCACACCGAACAGGACACATTTCAGCAAGAGCCAATTCTCGCGTTCATCAGAATCGTCAGCCGATTCAGTGATCAAAAATCAAGTTGAACAGGTGCCTCCAAAAAAAATTTTTTTTTTTAAAATGTCATGGCAGTTTCTGCTAAAACTGGGCAGGACCAGCCATTTCCCCCACTCAACACCACTGTCTTTCTGGTGGTTCCAATTCTTCTCCACAAAAGGAGGTTCTCCGTCTGTTTCCAAATTCCCCTAGAATTCACTTCAGAAATAACCATTATTATTTTTTATTTAATTTACACCCCGCCCTGTCCCATGAGTGGACTCAGGGCGGTTTACAACGTATCTCTCCTTATATATAACTAGAAATAATGCCCGTTGCGGAAATAAATACAACGGGATCTAGAAAGAGGCTTCGAGGGAGTGCTCTGGCTTTGGGCAAACAGTGTCAGGGTTTAATGACAGAGTCCACTGTTTTCTCCAGAGGGACTGATCTCTGCTACCTGAAGAGCATTTTTGTATGTTTGAGTTATCTGTAGCCCTCACCTGGAGAGTGGTAACCATTGTTACCCATTCTCCTCTCCCCTATGAGGTATGTTATGCAACTGAAAATCCCAACTGCCTTGCGGGGGGGGAGTTTGAGGTGTGGAATGGACTGAAGTCCAATCAGCTTCTAT